GAAAACCTCCTGGGTGTTTTGATTTTTAGCAAAAATCGTATTCGGGAACGTAATAATAACCTTATTAGACGAAGAAGCGAATTACGTGATGCCTCAGACCCATTTTCGTTAGAAGAAAGAGAATTTACTAGGATGTACTAGTTAGTTTTTGTTATTGCGAGGTTATATTACATTATTAAACATTGAAGACTGTTAAATAATCCATGCTTACATGACATGATAAGAAACTTATATTATTGAACTTCTAATTATAATACATGTAAATATGAATGTAATACATATTTAAAAAATATAGATAGACTTTAGTCCTCTTCTTTACTTTTAACGGCTTTTCGTTTTCCCGTCTTTCCTGCCTATACCTCTTAACAATTTTCAATTTACAAGGTATGAACCGTTATTTGCAATATTACTAGACAGGAAGTGCTAGTGATCTTGTTCTTTCATATAGTGAATACGTAATTCGGCGAATAAACCCACATGAGATGACAGTGCGAGAAGTGAGCGCTCTCATAAAAAATATGTAATAAACGCCCTGGGGACAGATTCTGTATGTACACTTTGGCGTTCGTTTTGACGGAAGTGACGCAGTTGTCGCGGTTCGTTTTGTGAGGGCATCTACACCGAGTGTAGACTATCTCTACACTTCTACCCTCGATCCCGAGCGAGGGCAAGAATGGTAGCCCGCGAATTTGGCGGCAAATTTGAAAATTGAAAAGGCCAACAAACAGGAAAATACAAAATTTATGATAACATCTCAATGTAATATAAACAGAAGTAATTATTAATGCATCTTCTTCGTGTATAGAACGATTTAGCGTTTTAGTTTTGTACGTAATGTTTGAAACAATTTACAATAATTATGTATTACTACCTAACCGCGGTTGGAATGAACTAAACTATAATTTTTCCCTCTTGTAGTTAACTTGTTTTTCATTCTACTGTAATAACATTCTCACCCTTATTGATCCTCAATATCTGAAATTCGTGAAAGGAATTTTCATCTTCTACAATTACAAGGTAATAGAACGAATTGTAGGATTTGAAGAAAACGAAGACAGCTCAAGAAGGAAGGTTGGAAGAAGCATTCATCATAGTCCGATACAGATAACCTCAAAATCGCGTGCCTCTCTACTAAATCGGTCATCTTGGACTTTCGTGAGGTTGCTGGCGTTCGGGACGTCGATGAAAGTCTATCTACCCTTCTGCACTTTTCAAGAAAAGTGCAGTACCCTCGTTACACTCAAGTGTAGAAAGTGCAGTCAACGCGAACCAGACTGACTGACTTACAGAATAAAATACAGGATTCCTCCTCCGGTCGCATTACATTTTTTAAGGAGGTGGTAGCATATCTCTTACATAGCGATTGACTGACTGATTTTAAGAAGGACGGGTAAAATCGAATAGTCTGCCTCGTGATTGGTCGATAGCTGTCCAATACGGTTGCATGAAAACGGAAAATATCTAGTTGCCGTGCAGATGGAAAAACATGCTGTATGCTCGTGTGCATGTCGTGCATGTTGCGCGCACGTAATGCGCATGCATAAAAAGCGGTAAATTTAAAAAAGGTATGACGGCAAAGAATAGGGACGGTCAATCCGAGGAAATTCTAAAAAACCCTAAACCTTCGCGATGGGACTGTTACGGGGCGGCCGAGCGGATGCGAGGCCGGGGTAATCCAGATGGAGATTACCCAAATCTTGCGTGTAACGATTAATTTAAGTTTGTGAGGAGATTGATCCGAGCGACTAGATCAATTCCTCTGGTGGGATCTAGGGGAGTGAGGAATAAAAAGGGGTGCGAACGAATGGCTATGTGGCTAGTGTATTTAGATTTGCATTTATTCGTACGTGAGGTCTGCACTACAATCAGCTGGAAGGGCACCCGAGGTGCCTTGACCTAATTTCTCTAGATTAATATACTTCCGCGTCGCGGCAGTTCGGGTGTCGCGATAGCGCGCTTTAGCGGCGCTAGGTTACTGGACGCCGGAGTGCTGACGCGGGAATTCTTATTGTTTTAATGGCGGTCTGCGCGTGATTCTATTTCGCGATGCTGAGATTCGAGCTCGGCTGTTTAATGGAAGTCGATGGATTCTTAATCTATTCGGTTAACCGGAGCAAGGCATGGAAATCGCGATAATGGTTAGAATTCGGTTTTGGTCGGAGATGAAGGGTTAATAAATAAACTAGAATGAAAATGAGGATGAATCGAGCTTGCAAAGGATCCTCTACCTGGCTTGTTCAGCGGCCGTAATCGGTGACAGTCTCTTTTGATCGACCCGGTCGGATGACTGTGCGTGAACACCTTCGTCCCGTGACGTGCCCTAGGGTTGGAGGTCTCCTAGAAGCCTCCCGTCCAACGGAAGTCGCAGTGCCGCCGTCTAGTCCTGACTCGGTGGTTGGATCGCTGGAGTACCAGATGGCGCTACTGCAGCTCGCAGAATAGTGGTCCTTGGCAGGGAGTCAAATGGTCTCCGTCTCTGACTCGCTAGGAACGGAGTACCGGGGACCAGGAGCTCCACTCGAAGTTTCGATGACGACTGACGTTGGTTTATTGCCAATTGACTAAAGACTTTCGACTAATGACATTATGACTGCCGTCTTGATCGGACTGCTGGTTTTATTAGCAGGATGTTCCAATTGGTGGGGGTTTCCTAAGGCCCAGGTGAGGGTCGCGTTTCTGAGTCGTGCTGATGCGTTGCGGAGTCATCAGGTTGTTCGCCCCGGGTCGGTCGATGACTTTTGGAGCCGTTTGGCCGTTGAACTCGTTGGATCCTTTCGCAAGAGTTTCCTAATCGCGTTTCCGTGTTCGGATTTCCATGGCTAGCTCCGGTGATCGGAAAATAGGGCTTTTTCCTACGTAAAGGTACGGAAGGTCCCTAAGGTATCGTAGAAAACTAAAATTTACGAACGGATTTCGGCATCAGGAAATTGCTAAATTGATAAACGGCCCGATGGGCCCAAGCAGGCAGTAAGTCCCTTTCTGGAAATTTATCCGACGTTTCAAAAGCCGCAATGAATTTAAATACATGAGCGTCGCGCACGAAACAGTTGCAACTAAACGTCACAGATGGCGCCGTTTGTCCACCAGAGTCGTAAAAGTCACGAATCCGCGGGATTCCGAGTATTCAAATATTTAGATTTATTAAGAAATTATTAGTGTCCTACACTTACACCTTATATACTATATACAGACATTACATCATTAGCACAACTTAGAGTTTCATGTAAAGATGCAATTATTTACACTTTCAGCGGACTTCAGCGTGGCGTAATTGTACAAAACAGTCTTCATTTTCCTGAAAGAATTCAAGACACCATATTAATCTTTATTAGAAGAACTGTAAAGATAAATACGATCATACGTCATAAATATAAAAAATATATATCAGACATGAAGTCATAACTAGAGATTTAAATAAGAAATATCTAAATACAGCAGCAAGTTTTGCAATAAAAGAAATAAAACGAAAGCAACAATTTTTCAAAGAAAATAATTTATTTGCGCTGATGCAGTAAAGGAATTGAATGAACACTGAAAATTGTGAGGATCAGAATCATTAACGAATCTGAAATTGCGGTATGTACATGAAATATGAACGTTTTGCAAACATTCCACAACCCAACTTATTTCAGTATACAATTACGTATATACATTATAATCACAACCATTAATTCCATGAGTAAAAATATACAATAAAAGAGAGTTTTCCATACATGTACATTTATTCAACACGGCACACAGAGACTATTAATCCCCACACTCATAGTGAACAGAGAAATGCGAGAAAGACTTCTTAAGGTGAAGTGAAACACGTCGATAAAGAAGATTTTTCTAAATACCTACGTTGTCGACGTTGGTTTTTAAATTGACAACTGTGTCGGATTATATTGGGTACTGTACTAAATGATATACTCCATCTATCGTTTTCGTACAATAATTATAAAGGAGTCCAAGTAAAACTTGAGAAATCCTCTGGATTCATGCTTTCTACGGCTCTGATTGACTGCAGAGGGACCCCCTGCGCCATCTATAATTTCCAGGTCAGTTCAATTTTCACTCCGAGACTTCGTATTCCCATTGTTTTGGCATGAAAGCGCATAAAACACTTTTTTTGCCTTCATCCCGTTTAAATGCGAGTTTATCGACTACCAGAGTGTTCTAAATTGTCCTGACCCTTTCGTTTCTCATATTTAAGCCTACGATAATTGTATATTGATCGAAATATTAGAGATAGACGCCATTTTGGTTCTGGTTAAATTAAAGATTTTTTTTGTAAAATCCGGATTTTAAAAGTGTCAGGACACTTCTTAGATGATTACGAGTCATGTGTCAAAGTTTCGGATAGTTCAGTTGAATACCCTTAAAAATAAGTGCTTTATTCGAATCGACTGATTTGAGGAGCGTTTCACTTCACGTTAATTCTGAACGATATTACTTAGCTTGGCTACCATGCAATAATTTTCTAATTCGATGTTTTAATAAATTTTTGATTTACCAAATTCAATAAGCTCCTGAAGTTAATCATCCACCAGGAACTTTCTTTTCCTCAGTTCTCCCACAATTTGTTTGACACAATTAACTCTCTTCTCGGCTCGACGTAAACGTTGTAACGACAATTTGTTTTTCTTCTTCAGAAGCTCGATAACCTTTGTATAACATCTCCGCATTTCTTCGTTGGTAGGAGAATGAAATGCTCTGTTCGGCGAAACAGAAGTTCCTCGACTGACATTTTTCATTCTCGGTGAAACTAATATAAAAGATCATGGTGAGTTAATAAAATAAAACATTGCAGAACAAATGTGAAATTAAAACTTACTCGTCTTGTCTTCTGTTTGGACCCCTATCGACTTTTGTATGTACATTTTCTTTAAAGACGGAGACTTTGGGGTATTGAGGTTAGATGTCTCCGTTTCCTTGGTGAAATTATTGTCCGCCATATCTTCGACTGCCTTGAAATATCACTTGAATTTTATAAATCGTTCAGTCATACGAATATTAACCGTTTAAGTCCCACGCGCTACTTTCGGGCTCTTCAAATTTCAAGTCGAAAAAACCCAGTGCATTTGAACGATACCGACAATTGAACGTGCACTCACGATCTGACGAAACGTGCTCAACTTTCCAGATGCATTTTCAGATGAATTTTTTAACACAGAATAAAAGGAGTGCTATCATGCCGCTTGAATCTTTTCGCATCCCATTCAGAAAGCACTATTGCACTGCTTGGCTTTTTTCTACCGTTTCTTTAAAAACCTCTGGTACTCAAACGGTTAAAAATAAACTTCTTGCATGAGAGTGTTTATTTCGTCTCGCATATAAATTTCATCTTACGATTGGAACTGCGTGCTCTCGGAGTCTGACAACAGCTAACGAGGTCCGATCGAAAGCGTCTTCGGGAAAGTGATCGGAGCAGACACGAAACGTCTCTCGTACAGTTTCCATCCGTAAAGCACGGGCCCAATTCTGTCTCTGTACTGGATCCTTTGGAAATCTAAAATGCATGTCTAAATTATTGCAGCTTATGTACATTTACTTTCCCCTTAACATAACCTTAAGAAAACAAAGCCTGCTCTTACTTGTGGTAGGACACCTTCTTCAAAATCCCCATTAGTTCTAGTTTGTTTCTTTTCGCCGATCCTTTGCGTAAACAATAATTTTTGCACTTTTTTACGCTACAGCTTGGCATTTTGTACTTCGTTCACTATTTATATTTTCACTGTTCGCACCAAGGTAGAAGAAATCATCAAAAATGAGAGTAGATTCACTGTCAGAGAAGTAAATATTAGCGTTACCGCCACCATATGGAAAATGGTCGAACTAAAATCTAACATGGCGGATACGGCGGGATACTTGAAATGTTCTTTTCATTCTTAAGGTGAAGTGAAACACCCTTCAAATCAGTCGATTCGAATACAACACTTTTTTTTAAGGGTATTAGACCAAACTGTCCGAAACTTTGACACATCACTCCTGATCATCTAAGAATTGTCCTGACACATTCAAAATTTGGATTTTTCAAAAGAATTTTTTAACTCACTCCAGACCAGAACCAAAATGGCGTCGAGCTCTCATATTTCGATCAGTGTACAATTATCGAAGGCTCTGATATGAGAAACGAAAGAGTCAGGACAATTTTACGACAATTCAGAACACTCTGGTAGTCGATAATTTCGCATTTGAACGGGATAGAGGCAAAAAAAATGTTGTATGCGCTTCTATGCTAAAACGATGGGAATACGAGGTCTCGGAGTGAAAATTTAATTGACCTGGAAATCACAGATGGCGCAGGGTGTCCCTCTGCAGTCAATTAGGGCCCCAGAAAGCACGAATCCAGAGGATTTCTAGAGTTTTACTTCGATTTCTTTATAATTATTGTACGAAAACGACAGGTACAGTACGCCATTTGGTACAATACCCAATATAATTCGATATAGCTGTCAATATAAAAACGAACGTCGGCAACGTAGGCATTTAGAAAAGTCTTCTTTATCGACGTTGACCAAGTTCCTCGACGAGTTTCACTTCACCTTAAGGGGATTTCGCTTTACGCAACCACAAATCCGCGCATATTCGAAATCAGCCTTGAAAATTTGAAATGTATGCATATATGTGCATTCGACGTTTGTTTACAACGGCTGATAACGGCTATTTGAAGTCGTAAGATTCATAACCAATATTTGTATCAAAATGTATAAAGGTGGAAGACCAAAAGTAAATTATGGGATGAAACAAATGGACAAGATGGATGTTTATAACCTAGCGGATATCGTATACCCTACGTCTGTCTTGTCCGCCATGTTTGATACGTTTTTTCCTGGTTTTCTACGTTTTCTCCGGTAAACTACTTTATTTACATAATATACGTCAAAAACCTCGAAAATCCTGAAATTACCCAACCCTGCCTGTTACTTGTTTAAATACGATCATACTTGTATAAGATCACCGATAATGATATAATGCATGCATATTTAATGGTCATCGTCGATGTTTGTTTCAGTTAACTCTTTTTCTAATTAAAATTTCTATTGCACCTTAGGTATCTCTATTCAATCCCATTCCTGCAGAAAAGAACGTACATATTCTCACCAACATCTTTAACGAGTGCACAATGTCATCGTTATACGCCTTTGTGGCATAACTTATGATAAATGTCTGATAAATGAAAAAAGCATCGATGGATATACACGAAGAAAGGTAAATAAAGAAATTCAATCTAAACACTGAAATTATATATATCTTTTAACACGTTCCATACGGAGCCATTTTTTACAATTTTTCATTTACATTTAACGTGTACCGTTAATGGTATTCATGGCATGGAACATATTAATTTGGAATGATAAAGTATCATTTATTATGTATAAAAATGTTGAAATGTTTGCATTTATATTTTGTATATGGTTGTATGAATTTATAAATGCATATGCATTATTTCAGACACATTGAAGACGAACTAGAAAGGCTCAGAGCTGAAGTCGACGGGCCACCAAACCTGGATACCTTAACCTTGAACATTCAGAGGTTAACTGCGTCTATTCATGCTTCGTATATCTTTGAGAACGAAGGAAAGTCAGTCTTGCAGATGTTATGTCTTCTTTTAAGTTCAACGGCGAGTGGGAAATTTTACGGAGGTTGGCAAGAATTCGCCGCTGAGCTTGGACTCTCGACAGAACAAATACGAGTAAGTCGATGGTGATTAATGTTTTGAAAACGATATGAATGCCTATTTCTCATTTTTTTGCCCAATTTTTTAATGTACAGAGGATACAAAATTAGGAAAATGGTTATTCGATCAATTATTCGACTTTAAAGCTAGAAGTAATTAAAAGTAGAATGTTCGCATAGTTTTCTATTTTGTAAAAGAAAGCATTAATAAAATCCAATTGTTTTTAAATCTTTGAGAAATAGTTACCGGATAAAACAATAAGTGATAGAAGATATTTTTTATTAACGTGTATTTATTAACGTGAGAAAATTTGGCACAATTTCAATTTGCAGAACGTTATTATGTAATTAATACATTTTAGGACCTCCAAATTCATATGATAAAGTTTTAAATGATTCGATAAAGCCAGGATAGAGTTTCTAAATATTTGGAAACGTAATTGATTATTATTATAGTGTGTACACAAAAGAGTATATTATAATTCAGTTATTTATTATGCTTTATGATTATCTAGTGCATAGAATATGACTTCAAAGGCCTGGAAGATCCTACGTACTATGTTCTACTTACCTACGCACAATCACCAGATGGAACGTTGGACAAAGTATTTCATGCGTTACAAAAAATTAAGCGCTTGGATGTTATTAACAGAATTAAGAATTATGTCGATTATTTTATCAAGGCTCTTACTAGTACCGAAGGTGTGTATACATATATTAATGTACTTACAATTTTTGCACACTTATATAATTTTAAATACAGCCATCCCTCAATTTATGCTGAATATCTGTTCGTGGATTCGTTTTACGATTTGATTTCTCAGATATATATAGGCTGACTCTTTCATATCCTTTGAAGTTGAAGTGAAACACGTCGAGGCACTTGATCAACGTCACTAAAATAGATTTTTCTAAATACCTACGTTGCCGATGTTGGTTTTTATATTGGCACCTATATCGAATTATATTGAGTATTGTACTAAACGACATACTCCACATGTTTTCGCACAATAATCATGAAAAAATCCAGGTGAAACTCCAGAAATCCTCTGGATTCATGGTTTCTAAGGCCCTAATTGTCTACAGAGAGCCCCCTGCGCCATCTGTGATTTCCGTGTCAATTAAACTTTCACTCCAAGACTTCGTGTTACCTTCGTTTCAGCATAGAAGCGCATAAGATACTTTTTTCAAGAAGATTGTTACGACACTAAGATTAGAAAATGTGCAATTGTCATTACAATATTGATACAAATATCTCTGCGAGGACTTTCTAACCTATAAAACAAAATGTACTCAAACTAATCTGTATGTTTTCCCTCATTTAGCGGACAAAGACAGTTTTCTTAAATCCAAAAACATTCCACGAGCACCATTAGTACTCAGACCGATAATATTGATGAACGAAAATTCAAGAAAACATGAAGATGGAAACTTTAATGTATCGCAAGATTCTGAAATAACAGAGATAAGGAAGAAATCTTCCGAGGTTAGTGTGTGAGTCATAAACATTAACTGCTTTCTGTACAGCATTATAAAATGCTACAGTTGTGGAGAAATTTTATTCCGAGACCCATAATTTCGAAGATATCGAAGAATAGCTACTGCCCACTGAACACTGTTATATAACTGTTAGGTAAATGTTACGTTTTAGAAACTAACGTGTTATGTAGTAATGATAAAGTATCTGATTTTACTTAAAGACTATTATGATTTCATTCGACTAGCAATCAATTACTGATAATGTATATGCGCGTACAAATTAAAATCACATATTTTCATACGAGTAGTAAACAAAATATGACATATATTAATCTTATGACATTTGACGATGACGATAATGTAATAAAATAAATGACAGTCAGTACCGATAAAGTTCCGTTTTATTACAAATATGTGCATATACACAGTAATATCAGGACAGTACCATAATGTAAGATGAGAGTAACAAAGTTACGCTACATTTGTATAGATACGATAGTAACAAATGTTACGTAACCTGTTAGCTCTATGTTACATAACTGTTAAGTTACTGCATTGTAATAAATGTCACGTAACTAGTTCTATGTTACATAACTGTTAGGTTATTACATTGTAACAAACGTTATTTATTATTTTTGTTAGTTTCAAGTCACGTAAATGTTAGGTTTGGTGTTGAGTGGGTGGACCATCCGCTATATTCAAATTATTTAAACGTTACGTTTTTTAGTCTGCGCAAACATATGGCAGTGTGGCGATGCTAACTTTTGTCGAAGATGGAGCTGATACTGCTTATCATATAGCGAAAGTATTCAGATCTAGGGAACCAAAAATTGGAGTCGTTATTTTACAGGAACAAGAGAGATATGTTTACAGTAGAGCCGAAGAATTCATAGATGATTGTTTTATGCAGGTAAATTAAAACTTATTTCACTTCTGAATTGTGTTGTTTATTTTCTTTAATGAGTTTCCCATTATAGGTTAATTATATAGTACCGATATTAACAAAGGGATATTTAGAAACTATTGATGGACATGTTAACGCACAGAAACAAATAAGTACTTTGGATGCAAAGTATTCAAAATATGTTTATTCCTTGTTAAGGCATGAATATGTAAAAAATCACTGCTGTAACTTTAGAACAAGGTATGCTTTTCCGATAATATGTATAATTTTTACATAACCTTAAATATTAATATTATTTTGTATTATAGATGTATTGTACCGGACAAGCAATTGTGTAATATACACGCTACACCTTTACATCCTACCCTTCAAGCATGGTTCAAGGAAAGTGACGTCGAATCGTTTGCTGATAACATACTTTTAAGAAAATTCTAATCATCTTTTTTATACTGTGATTTTAAGAGATAAGTCGATATTGCTAAGTATTCTAATTTGTTTCGGCAAGTCTGAAACATCCGAGCCAGGATTTAAGGGGATATAAAAGGCGCTGAGAAATTTAATCGATGTCGATAAAATATAATTCATCTATAGCCTTTTTGATGAGAACGTCATTTTGAATACTCAAATGGTAACATAAGCTGGCTCATCCTGTTATCGACATTTATATTTATGTTGGTCTTTTACAGTCTATGTTGAGAATGATATCACGAATTTCACACATTCCATAAGATTGTGGTACTGTAACCTCACTTTTTCAAATTGGTCAAAGTGTACAACGATTGTGAATAAACATTTTAGTAAAGAAAAAAGAATTAAGAATAGTGTCAAGTAGGAGTAAACCATTAAAAAGATCTAGACTTTAACAATTCAGTTTTCCATACATTCTACGCAAAATTTTGAATTTAAGCGTGTCAGGAATAGAAACTGCAGAAACAAAGTCCCATATCCATGTAATTTAGATCACGAATGAATTTTGTAAAGTAAAATACCTAGTAAATTGCTGTAAAAAAGCTACGCAAATTACTAGGTTATTTTACTTATCTAATCCTATCCACGATTTTAGTTAATCGAGGTTTAACTAGTTTACACATCGTTTAAATATGGTCGTCAGTTAAGAAACTTTGGTGAGAGTGCTCACCTCGCGCCCTGTCATCCCACGTGAATTTATTCGCCCGATTCTCCGAGTGAAAATGTAAAATCTCTAGACTGAAAGAACTCGGTTCAAGATCTCGTCTAGTCTCACGCGAAATTCCTCACATTTTCATCATAGTGAAAGGTACAAAGTCGCGGGAGGTGCTCACTTTCAGCATTTTCATTAAATTAGAGTTACAGAATCTACTCCCAGATTCCAGGTATGTACACTTTTCGTCAAAGTGTAGAAAGTGTAGGCAAAATGAACAAACCTGCGATTGGTTGTTGGCGGCGATCGTTGCGCCATCTCGCGACTGTTACCGGGTATGTTCTGGTATGCTTGTAGCTGCTCCGTGACTGCTCCGGTGCGTGGTTTCGGAATGGTCTGCGATCTAAGCGCCTCTCGCGGCTGGTGACGAAGCTGGGTGCAGGATCGCCACTATTGTGGGGATTGTCAAATATATTTCACCACTTTATCTATAGTTATTGCTTTATTATCACAGAAAAAGGAGCGGATTTCCACGTGCGCTCTAGAAGTGGTCACACAGTCTTCTCCTCGATTTTCAACCGTTTTTAAAACATTTTATGACGTAGTTGTCTTTTCGTTCCAGGTAAGTACAGTGATGTGCGCGGGGTAACTCAGTTTGCCCCGTCCTGAACGCATCGCGTTCGTCGCGCACGACGCCCCTGGTGGTCGTTGGACGGACTTCGTGCCGGGCCCGCCACACTATTGTGGGGATTGTCACATATATTTTACCACTTTATCAATAGTTATTGCTTTATTATCACAGAAAAAGGAGCGGATTTCCACGTGCGCTCTAGAAGTGGTCACACAGTCTTCTCCTCGATTTTCAACCGTTTTTAAAACATTTTATGACGTATTGTCTTTTCGTTCCAGGTAAGTACAGTGATGTGCGCGGGGTAATGCAGTTTGCCCCGTGCTGAACGCATCGCGCTCGTCGCGCGCGACGCCCCTGGTGGTCGATGGCCGGACTTCGTCCTGAGCCCGCCACACTATTCTGATCGCAGCGCCACGGTACGTTAAAGTACTGAATTAATGTTTAGTATCCACATTTCCACGCGTCTCGTTTTCTATGCAAATAGCTTTCTATATATATTCAGTTTCGGTGCCTTAGTAAATATGGAGATTGAAATGACGTTTTGAGAAGGAAGGAATGCGAAAAGCAAATGAGGAGCAACGTGTGCTGCGATATTTACGATCGTGTATAAAATTCACGGTCATACGGAAGTGCAGCATGTTGTAATTATCCCAAAAAAGCGGATGCTTCATTAATGCTGATCAGGAATAAAACCATCTTGTCCTGTATACCGAGGTATGTGGATTATAGGTACATACACTTACACTTGTCATAAATGTACATACCATTCAATGGCTTTACTAACTGCTTATTTTTTCTAGCCTTGTATTCTGTGTCCCGTTAGGTTTACTTTATATTGGCACGTATAATGCTTTGCAAAGTTTGCTGATATTTACTCGGAGGATTGACAGAACGTTGCGATTCTATTTTCAGGATGTTTAATTTTTTGTTACCTAACCTATTTCTATGAAATGCAGATTTTTATTCCATTTCAATTACTTCTTTCAGTCTTTGAANAGACAATTGCGAATCGCTGATTTTTACTCGTCCTATGTCTTATATCGTGTTAGATTCACATTAAAATCGAAAATTTTATTTATGAAGCATTGGAATTAAGATAGTTAGAGTTTGCTTCGTTTCCTCCGAGAATCGACAGAACATTGTGATTCCATTTTCAACATGTTTAAATTCTTGTTACCTAACCTATTTCAATGCAACGCGGATTTTTATCCCGTCTGAATTAATTCTTTCAGTCTTTGGAGTGTATAGACAATTGCGAGCCGCTGATTTTTTACTCGTCCTGTGTCCTGATATAAGAATATCATGTTAATTTCACTTTAAAATCGCTCATTTTATTTATGAAGCATTGGAATTAAGATAGATTTAGCTTCGTTTCCTCCGAGAATCGACAGAACGTTGCGATTCCATTTTCAGGGTGTTTAATTTTTTGTTACCTAACCTATTTCTATGAAATGCAGATTTTTATTCCATTTCAATTACTTCTTTCAGTCTTTGAAATGTATAGACAATTGCGAACCGCTGATTTTTACTCGTCCTATGTCTTATATCGTGTTAG